TGCATTTTTAATTGCAAACATACACACAGAGGTTTTCTCATTTTTATTGTTGATTTTAGACTTAATTGGATTCTGGTCAAAGAATAGTCTGTCTTCAATACTCTGTATGAAATTTCTTGAGACTTACTTTATGGTAAAATTTTCTAATTATTCCATGTCTGCCTGAAAAGGATATGCATATTTTACAACTGGTGGGTGCAGAGCTCCATGTATGTTAAGAATATATATATTTTAAAATATTTATTTATTTATTTTTTTAGCTTTAGGTGGACACAATGTCTTTATTTTTTATTTTTATGTGGTTTTGAGGATTGAACCCAGCGCCCTGCACATGCCAGGTGAGCGCGCTACTGCTTGAGCCACATCCCCAGCTCCTTTTAAGAATATTAATATTCTTAAGTTCAAATCTATACTTATAACTTTCTCTCAACTTATTCAGAAAACTTATATAGAAATTTGTTAAAATATCCAAGAATTTAGATTTGTCTAGTGATATCTGGATTCCTGTTCATTTTTTGGTGTTTGGGGGTAGGGGGCATATTGGGGATTGAACCCAGGGATGCTTCACTACTTACCTACACCCCCAGCCTTTTTTTTTTTTTTTWAATTTTGAGACAGTCTGGTTAAGTTGCTGAAAGCCTTGCTAAGTTGTGGGTCCAGCCTCCAAAGCTGTGATTCTCCTGCCTTAGCCTCCTCAGTCACTGGAATCACAGATGTGACACTTGCCTGATTTCCCRACCTTCTATTTTCAATCCTCTGTTTCCTTATTTTAGACATGACTCTGATAAACAGCATATAGTTAGTTACTTTAAAAATTGAAAAATTTTATCTTTTAATTGTGGCATTTGTTTAAATATTGACATGTTTGAGTTTAAAGTCACTATCTTAAGATGCTTTTTGTCTCCTGTTCGATATTCACTTTTAACCCTTTATTTTCTATTCTGGATTTTTAAAAATTCTTTTTTTTTTTTTAAGTCTGGAAGCTACACACCCTTTTATTCCTTTTTTTTTTTTTTCAGCGATTAATCTACAGATCACAATATGCATCTTTGTCTTGTCCAAGTCCAGTCTTTGTTCGTTTTGGTGCAGGAGATTGAACCCAGGGCCTTCTGTGTGCTAAGCACCACTGAACTACACACCCAGCCAAAAATTACTTGGTATTTTTGTCCAATTCCCAGAAGATGTGAGGGATTGAGAATACTGATCTTATCTGACTTGGGTTATTTTTGTCTTATATTTTATTTACATTATGTGTTTATTAAGATAAATAATTATTCCATCCCTTAGGTACAATGGACGCTCTAAGTGGGGGTTTTATGTCCTTGTGAGGTTGAATACTTATGTTGTACATGTCATACAATATGGAAATATAAGACTATAAAAAAACCATCACTATTTTTTTAATAAGTTCATTTAGATTTGTTCTTCATTCCCTCTTACCTCTTTACATCCTCTGTACTTCCATCTAGAATTTCCCTTCACCAATCTAGGATCACTTTAATCCAAAATTAGCTAGTGAGATTTTCTGGGCCACCTTATTTCTTTAATTTGTTCAATCCACCCCAAGGCAGGGTGGGGATGTGGTGCTGGTTACTTCTGGGTTACCTTTACTCCTAAGTGTCCCAAACCAAATCTTTAAGGATCTCCCAGGCTAAACCCAATGTGGGTCTTAAATTCCAACCTTTATCTCCAGCTCTGAGAAGCTGCAGGAAGCCTGGATAAACATCTAGCAGGAATCCCCAGGGAAAAGCTGCTCCCCATGCTGTAGGCTCCCCAATGCCTTCAACTGGCAAGTTCTCATTTTGGACAGCTTTTCTGCACACTCCAGGGCGAGCTGGTCTGAGTTGTGCCCTTGGGGAAGGGGAAGCATCTCTAGTTTCCTTTCAACCAGCTCTGGTCAGCCTTGCCCCCACTGCTCCACAGTGAACACTTGTCAGCCTCGCCAATGTAGGCTTCAGTCTTTCTTGACTCGTCAGCTGATGTGACAGTTCCCTTCTCTGTCCTGTAGCACTCTCTGTCCTCTCTTTCYGGAGCTCAACCTTCTTCTGGTTCCACTGATCTCCTACTTGCAGTTCCCTTGGAGTCTTCTAGTTGATCCTCCTTTTCTTCTGAACCTTGGAAATGTTGGCTTGACCCTGGTCTTTACTTTTGGTCCTGTTCTTTATACTCATTGCATGTCCTCTGGTTGTAAATCAAAAAAATAAAAGTGTAGCTGGATGCAGTGGCACATGCCTGTAGTGGCTCGGCAGGCTGAGGCAGGAGCATCGTGAGTGCAAAGCCAGCCTCGGCAACTTAGCAAGGCCCTAAGCAACTCGGCTAGACCTCCATGTCTCTAAATAAACATAAAAAGGGCTGATAATGTGGCACAGTGGTTAAGCACCCTGGGTTCTAGTCCCTGGTACCAGAGGGGGAAAAATTGTAATGATTTTCTACTTTATATATTTATCCCGAACCTCAGTTGGTATTTCAACACTTGTTAGCCAAAAATAACCAGATATCTTCCAGACTCCCAGTGGTTCCCTGACCAGGTATAATATTGCCTTCCCAAGAGACATTTGGCAAAGTAGAGACCAAGATTCTCCTCCACACACCACACATTTTCAGCACAGCCCCCCATCATGATTGTGGCCCAGCACATCAACGGTGCTGAGGGTGAGAAACCCCGAGTTACACAGATCGTGTGTTGGGGCCACCTCCAATTCCTTTCATGGCAAGTGATGAAAGCTCTGTATCAAACATACATCCTGAGTCTGTACAATTCTCCCCAAACCCAACACTCACATGTAGTTGTTGCATTACTAAGAAGCCTCCTAAAAGCACTTCTGCCTGAGTGCTTCTCCACCCCGAGCCAGGGAAATTGTCTTAAAACAAAGCCCTTACACATCACTTCTCTGCTGCAGAGGCCGCCTGCTGTACTTTCTCATGCCTGCGGCCTCCTCACTCAGGTTCTGCGATCCCCCAGCGGCTCAGCTGCAGCCACACTGGACTGATCTTTGAACACACCAAGCTATTTTCTGCCTCTAGAGCTTCTGTATTTGCTATTTCTTCTGTCTGGAGCATTCCTTCTCCAAATGTTCACATTTCTGGCTCCTTCTCCCTAATCAGATCTCTGGCTCAAATGTCACAGAAGTCTTTCTTGACCTGTATACTGAAAAGTGGCCTCTTCTTCCTCCTGTCTGTACCTCACCCTGCCTTATTTTCTTCATAATGATCACTATTTGCCGTTGTTTTTTTCTCTCTAATTACAAGCTCCACGGAGGAGAAAAGCTCTGTCTGTCTTGTCTTGTTCATTGCCAGATTTCCACACCTACAATGTGCCTGGCAATTACAGACATTCTGATGTTTAGTTAAGGAATGCATGGAACAATTTCTGACTTCAAGGTGTGTGCTGCCAACTACTAACGATGATGCCTGAGCAACCTGTCAGATACCAGTAATGAAAGCTTATGAACCATTCAGTTATAGACGTTCTCAGAGAACATCCTAACCCAGGCAAGTATTCCAATGACCCATCATCCCCAGGAACTGGGAGAGGAGCCTGAGCATACAAGACCAGGGATGTCAGGGAGGCAGGATTTGACTCAAGCACCAAGTGCACAGAAAGGAAAGGGTGCCTACATTTCTGCTCAAGGTCCCTGATACAAACAAGGTCTTCATGAACTTTTAAGACATKGCTTTACTTGTCTCACTGAAAAAAACAAGCCAGGGAGGCGCTCTAACAGCAGGACATCCAGGAAACTGACACAGAGGTATAAAGCACTGGGCCACCCTCGTTACTCGATAGAGCACTATCCCTAACTATGAAACCCAGACAAATTACAAATTTCTTATACTTGGAAGTTCAATGATATTAATTGCCAAATGAGTATTATTATCATTATTATTTTTAATTAGYTACACATGACATTACAATGATCTTGGCAATTCATACATTTGAATCAATTGGGGCATAATTTCTTATTTTTCTGATTGTACAGATTGCAGAATCACACTGGTCATAGAGTCACCTATATACATACAGCAATCATAGTGTCTATTCTTTTCTGCTGCCCTTCCTATCCCCCCTTCCCCTCCCCTCCTCTCCCATCCTTTCTCTCTATCCAATCTAATGTGTCACACTTTTCTTTTTTCTTTTTCTCCTCACAACATCATACATGTATTCTGTATAACGATGAGGGTCTCCTTCCATCTTCCGTGCAATTCCCATTCTCCCTCCTTTTCCCTCCCACCTCTCTTCCCTATTTAGAGGTAATCTTCTTCTCATGCTCTTCCTCCCTATCCCATTTTGAGTCACCCCCCTTATATCAGAGAAGACATTCGGCATTTGTTTTTTAGGGATTGGCTAACTTCACTTAGTATAATGCTAATGCCATCCATTTCCCTGCAAATGCCATGATCTTGTTATTTTTTAAACAGTATTAGAGATTGAACACAACTATACTTGAATTTTATTTTAAGATAGGTTCTAACTTGCCAAGCTGGCCTTGAACTTGTGATCCTCCTGCCTCATGCTCCCAATCACTGGGATTAGGTGTACCATACCTAGATAATTCTTTTTTTTTTGAAATTAAACTCAGGGGCACCTGACCACTGAGTCACATTCCCAGCCCTATTTTGTATTTTATTTAGAGACAAGGTCTCACTGAGTTGCTTAGCACCTCACTTTTTGCTGAGGCTGGCTTTGAGCTCACGATCCTCCTGCATCAGCCTCCCTTGCCACTGGGAGAACAGGCACGCGCCACCATGCCCAGCTAGATAATTCTTAATATAGTCCTGGAGCTCTGAGAGGACTTAATGAGGTGACACTTTCTAGCAGTTGCCTGATGGGAGCACTGAACTAAAGCTAGCTGCATGTTTCCACTGTAAGTACAGAACTTCGGTGATCATGGTATCTCCTCTGCCAGGTAAGCACCAAGTGCAGGACTTTGGCTGATCTCTCCAAACACACTTGTAAAAGATATAAACACTTTTGTGAAACTCTGATTCAATTAGATAAATACCTTCAGCTTCTTTAGCTCAAACTGATGATGTTGTAAAGAATGTTCAAATTCATTTCTGCTTTCTTTCAGGGCTGCATTTTCTTGTTCCAGCTCTCTCTGCAAATCAAGAACACATAATGATCGGCATCTCTGAAATGCCTTTTCTTTTGGTCACTGTAGGGATGTGAAATGACAATAGGGTGAGGGGGTTGGGGTTTGGCTCAGTGGTAGAGCACCTGCCTAGCAAGTGTGAGGCTCTGGGTTTCACCCCCCGCACCACAGGAAAAAAAAAAAGCTGGATGTGGTGGTACACACCTGTAATTCCAGTGGCTTGGGAGGTTGAGGCAGTAGGATCACAAGTTCAAAGGCAGCCTCAGCAACTTAGTGAGGCCCTAAACAATTTGGCGAGACTCTACCTTTTTTTTTTATTTTGGGGTACTGGGATTGAACTCAGGGGCACTCAACTACTGAGACACATCCCCAGGCCTTTTTTGTATTTTATTTAGAGATAGGATGTCACTGAGTTGGTTAGTGCCTTGCTTTTGCTGAGGCTGGCTTTGAACTTGTGATCCTCTTGCCTCAGCCTTCCAACAGCTGGAAATACAGGAGTATGCCCCATGCCAGGCAAGACCCTATCTTAAAACAAATGGTAAAAAAAGGGATGGGGATGCGGCTCAGTAGTTAACTTGGGTTCAATCCCCGGTACCCAAAAAGAAAAAAAAATTATAAACTTCTCAAGGAGGAATAACATGCTTCTCAAAATTGTGGGGCAGGGAAAGGGACTATAAAAAGGGAGAAGTCACTGAGGAGAAACAACATGAGTTTCAGAAAGAACATGAAAAGGCTGAGGGGAATGGTCAGGAAGTGCCAGGAAGGCCCTCGGGGGAAAAAAAATCCATCTATTTTAGATTTCTCTAAAAAGTTGCCATTTCACAGGGTCTCACAAGCAGGGGCTTGTTAGAAAGATCTGACCTTTTGTACAAAGTGAATTCCTAACTGAGGTCAGGAGTCAAGCATGGGGCAGATGAGCTGTGCCTGGGCCCAGTGCTGATGCTCAGCCTCCCTCTGTTCTCCACTCACCATTCTGCACTCAGCAGCTGTCTGGTCGGCTGCCTGTGCCTGCGCCAGGGCGGCCATCTGGGCCTCCAGCACATGGGTGCGTTCCCTGCACTGCTGCTCCAGGGTGAGGGCCTGCTGCTGCGCAAGGCTGCTGTCCCGGTTCGCCGCAGCCTGCAGGGAAACCAAAGCCAGTTAGTGAAAAGAAAAAGAAAAATTTGGGGAGGGGATGGTAATTTTATTCTGGCTCTTTGTGGCCCAAACATGGTACCCAATAGAAATAGATCCTCATCCTAAGGGCCTCCTCCCAGGTATCGTTGAGAAACCCCTGCAGGCCATGCCTATTGATGGCAGACTTGCCCTGTCCCAGAAGACAGCCCAGCATGGGTCTTTCTGCTCTCTATCACTGAGCTACACCTCAGCCCCTGGCATTGGTTTTGATGCCACTGCTGTGCCCTCATGGCATGTGGGGAAGCTCTGGGAACTAGCCCATTCCTGAAGCAGGCCTCCTCAATGGCTGCACAGTGTCCCCCTAAGCTGATGCTTCTCTAGAGTGGCAGTGGAATATAGTGGTAGAACAGGGCTTTGCATGCGAGAGATGCGAGTCCTGCCACTTGCTGACTGTAAGCCCCTGGCCAGTGACCAAAATCCTTCTGAGCTGACCTCTATGAAATGTAGACGACAGTGTGTACCTCTTAGGTGTGCTGCAAGGACTAAGCAAACTTCTGTGTAATGTACTCAGCATAGTACCTCGGATGTGGTAGTCATGAAATCAATTATGGTTGCTTTTTTTTTGTGAGAGAGAGAGAGAGAGAGAGAGAGAGAGAGAGA